TAGCAGAAGACAAGTTTTTATTAATCTTGTGACTCTTCACAGAAAGAATAGTTATGCATGAAATGATTTTAGCATGCCTTCCAATGCTTCCTATTCTTTGGCATCATGTCTAATTTTTATTCTGGACTATAAAGCTCTTTTTATTATCGTTGACACACAATATTATATTAGTTTCAGATGTATAACAGAGTTCACATTTTTACACCTTACAAAGTGATCGTCACAAAAAGTCCACTGTCCATCTGTCACTGTACAAAGTTATTGTGATATTATTAACTGTATTCCCTATGATACAGTTAAGTATCCTTCCTTCCTTCCTTCCTTCCTTCCTTCCTTCCTTCCTTCCTTCCTTCCTTCCTTCCTTCCTTCCTCCCTTCCTTCGTTCCTCCATCCCTCCCTCCCTCCCTTCTTTTTACAGTGAGCTTGGAGAAGAAAGATGTAAGTTGTTTTGAAAGGATTTACATTAGCTATAGATAAGGGTTAGTGGGGGTGGGGAGTTGGGGGAGGAAAGGCAAAGCAGGAAAAGTTCTGGGATAGGTGACTAGTTCCTAAGAAATAAGTACTTTTTGCATCTGGATTGACTGTGGACAACAGTCTGGAAGGTTCATGAGTAGTCAGGATGCGGTGGCCTGAGGCTGGTGGGCTATTCTTTTACGGTAATTGCTGAACTAGCTGCCTGGAAGTTGAATCAAAGTTTCAACACATGGTCAGGGATGTGAGCAGCCTTTCCTTGGTTTCCACCTGTGGCTGCTAACTGATTAACTTCACATGTCTCTTCCTTTCACCTTCTTGCCTATTGTAATTTAATTTAGGACATCTCAGAATTTTTTTTTGTCTACTTAATGAATTAGAGGGCATTTGTTGGGCTTTGCCCCCTATGGTAGTCATGCTAGTCTACTTATTATCAATTATCATTGAAAAATATAGCTAAAGAACAATTATGCAGTGTATTTGGTGAAAATGAAATGAACTTTATGACTACAAACAAAAATTTCCCTATAAGTTATATTATGAGGGAAAATATTTCCTTTCTTAATTATTTCTATTTACCTACCAAAAAACCTTTTGTCGTGGTAAATTGAAATGCTTTCTTTTTCAGTGTAGAAATTAAGATCCAAAGATCCTTTTGGTTCCCCCTTCCCTGTTCCACACACATCCAAGGGATTCACAGAGCAAGGAAAGAAAAAACTATATGGATTTTTATTCCTCTTAGGCTCTTTTTCCCCCTCTTTGTTTATTTTCTTTTTTAATCTAGAACCTCTGTGGTCCTCATGGACTTTGGCTCTGGAACCTACATATCTTAATAACTTACCTATACTTTCCTCTCTCCCAGGAGGACTATCCTCCCAGAAGGTGAGGGAAACCTCAAGGCTGCAATTATTTGAAAAAGTTACACTGTTAAGATAATATCAAAGCCATTGTGGATGACTGCTGCTGATATTTTGGCATATTACCAGAGATTCCAGGTGGCTCAGGGCCTCTACTTACACACATATATCCAGTGCAATCTACTTTCTTTCTTTAAAAGCATTCAAGCATCCAAGAATGAGAGAGGCCGTCCTGCAGATTGATTCCTCAGGTTCACTTTGTGTAACTGTAGAATATAATTCCTGGGTTTATTTTAGTTTTAACAGAGCATCATTTGGAAAATTTACCTTGTATCTCTTCTACAAAGGAGTACAGCATTTTTCAAGAAATAAGTACTTAAGAAAAGAGCAGTTGTTTAAGTAGAACAATGAAGAAAAGAAGTCAGATTTCTCTATGGGAAGAATCCATAATGGACATGCATTTGGAAGTTTGGAGGGAGGACTGGTTCATTTTATCTTGATGTAATGATTTTTCAGTACTTAATAGTCAGAACATAGTTATTAATTACCTTTATGTTTACCCTTCCTAGAATTGAAGTAATAACGAGAGGTAAACGTTGGAGTTCTGTTGCTTCATCTTACTGAGTCTGACAAATTACCAAACAACATGAGGTAAGAGTAAATTTTAAAACATGTGAGTTTTTGACACATGATAAGTCACAACTGACTACTTGTTTATTAATGACTAGGAAAAACTCTTTTCTAGGAATAAATGTCTTTAGCCATACTTATTAATGTTAGAATGAGTTCAATAGGGATAAATCTTGAAGATTAAAATGATCTACATTCTTGCCCTTAGGCATGATTAAAAGAATATAAATAGAATACATTATTTTTTGAAAAATATTTCAAAATTACTTCAGGCACTCTTTTCACTGCTTAAATATCGTATACCTTTTCAGATTCTAAGTACGATATACTTAAAATATTGCTCCATTATGATACAGTTATTCACATGTTTAATTTTTGATGCAGTTGTTGAACAACAAAAATATAACAATAAGTCACCATACCATTTTCCTGTTAATCCCCTTTCTTTTCCCCTCAGGGAAAACATTACACTTCTCAGATTTCTTTATTCTTTAAAAACTTTTAATAGTTTCCCTGATTTCCTTCTCTCAGTTTAGAATGGTTTATCCAAAAAAAGCTCACATACATGTTATTAATTTTCAGCCTAATTAGCACTGATTATTTAGGTGTATGTTGTAGGATTGAACATGAAAAGATATAATAAAAATAATAATGGCTAATATTTATTGAGTACTTACTCTGTCATAAGTGGTGCTAAGTGATTTACTTGCAACATCTCATTTTGTACCATCAAGAAAGCCTTGAGGGTTATACAAGGGGGACACCAAAAAACTGGAATTATCTTCTGGAGAGCAGGCCTCTTGTAGTACTGGCTCCCCCACTAGGTGAGTGTTCTAGGAACCCATCTGTATCAGTGTACCAGCTGGGTTTGTTGTACGAGTTTGTGTTGGGCTTTCCTGAATGTTTTTGAGGACTCTTTCAACATGTTTGTCCATTTCATGATGGGTGATTTACAAGCATGCCTGCTCACATGGTGTTGAGTGTTCAGTTTTTGACCAAAAATGGCATGAACCCCATGCCCCACTCTCCGTATTCATTCAATCTCACCCCGAGTGACTTTTTTTTTTACTTCCCTGCATGATAAAAGTCATGAAATGGAAAAATTTTGCCAGTGTGGAAAAGGGGAAACAAAAAATAGCAGAAGCACTAAAAGGCATCAAAATCGATGAGCCTGAAAACTATTTTGAGCTATTGCTCAAATGGAGAGTACTTTGAAGGTGAATGAAGTTTAAACATGTAAGAATAAACACACAATTTTTATAAATAAATTCCAGTGTTTTTTGAATCCCACTTTGTATTATTTTTAAGCCCTCCTTTATATGAGGATACAGTGGTATAGTAATTTGCCAAAATTACATCAGTCACTTAACTAAGTAACATAAGTAGGTTATATAAGCAACATAAGCAAGTTATGTAACTTGTCCAAGGTCCCAGTTAGAAAACAAGAGAAGCAGCATTGGAACTTACTCTCTATTTAAACCTAAACCCATGCTAACAACTGCATTATTACAGCCTTCAAATTTTTCTCTAATTCTCCATGCTCAAATGTCATTCAACTTTTATCTACATAATAAATATGCATTGATTATTTGCCATTTGTCAGGCACAGAACATAATGCTGACTCTCTATGGAGGACAAATTGAAGTTTTGATTATAAGGAAGTTGTCAAGTGAAAAATTATTAATATTTAATATTAAAATATGGTGATAATATCTACTATCCTTGGGAGCATGATGAATACAGAGATGTTTTAACCCAGGTTGAAGAGTTGAGGAGTGTGTTTCAAAGATACGACACTTTAACTGAGCTCTGAAGTTGAAGTAGGAGTAAGTCAGGTAAAGGACCAGGAAGGTGGTATCAGGCAGTGGTTAAGAGCATGGATTCTGGAGCCAGGTTTCTAGGTTCGTAATTCTGATTTTAATCCTAGTAGGTGGCCTTCAAAAGACTTCATTTCCATGCCTCAGTTTCCTAATCTGTAAACTGGAAGAATTAATAGTACTTACCTCATATTATTATTATTGTATGGATTATATAAGTATTTAGAAAACTGTCTAGAATATAAACGGTGTCACATAAATATTTGCTATTATTATTACTGTCTAGGCAGACTCATATATATAAAGCCATGAGTGGAGAAAAAGCATCCATATTGTTCATACAAATGAGTTTACATTCTTAGTTGCCCTGTCTTAAATGAATTAATGATGGCTATGGAAGACATGTCCAGGGTAAATAAGAATGCAACCAACAATTCCTTTATATGTATCTTTTGTTTAGTGTTCAGTTCCAAAGAATTTATTTTTATCTAGACTACTTGTAGGCCTTTTAAAAAACTATGAACGATGGGCTGAGGAAATGCAGGGCAGTTGTTCTTATGAGAAGGTTTTGGAGGCTCACCTGGGAGAGAAATCCTAGCATGTGCGTGCTGATAATTTTTGTGTTTGGTTGTGTACACCTCTTATTTTAGTGAGTATATAAATTATATCAGAATCCAAAGTAGCCACCACCCACAAAAAGTAATTGCACCTCATAAGTAATTTTTAAATTTAGTTGCTTACTTTATCTCTGCTGGTACTCTAAATTAAATCTGCAACGTTAAATTTTCTTAAATTAGACTTTTCAAACCCCCAATATTTCAAACCCAAACATCAAAATTACTTCCCAAATCTCAATTATTAAATTATTTTGTTCTCTCCAATCAGTGCTTCATGACATAGAATTTATGCATAAATCATAAGTGTACAGAGAAGTGATAGTTGCAAATACAAAAGGCATTTGGGTAGAATGACATTACATTAGACGCACAGGAAAAGATCTAATTCCACTGCTAATAAGAATTAAGACATAAAATTAACCTTTTGATTCATCATCAGTTGGAATTGACTTAAAGTTAAGTCACAGTAATTTCATAAGGTGAAAATGAATAATGATTATAAAATAGCTTTGTAAATCCTAATGCTTGAAGAGATTATTTATAGCTAGAATCAAAAGCAAGGGTCCATTTATTGATTTTGCCTTGTGCCTCTCAGCAGGTTTCTGCCATGGGTGACAGGGGAATAAGCAATCACTCAGAAGTGACTGACTTCATTCTTGTAGGCTTCAAGGTCTGCCCAGAGGTCCACATTCTCCTCTTCCTGTTCATTCTATTTGTATATGCCATGGTCCTTCTAGGGAATATTGGGATGATGGCCGTTATTATGACTGATTCCTGGCTGAACACACTGATATATTTCTTCCTAGGCAACCTCTCCTTCACTGGCCTCTTCTATTCATCTGTTATTGCACCCAAGGCCCTGATCAACTTCTGGTCTAAGAGCAAGTCCATCTCCTTTTCGGATTGTGTGGCCCAGTTCTTTCTCTTTGCCTTGTTTATTGTGACTGAAGGATTTCTCCTGGCAGCTATGCCTTATGACCGCTTCATTGCCATCTGCAGCCCACTCTTGTACTCTGTCCAGATGTCAACATGTCTCTGCACTCATTTGGTGGCTGGTTCCTATTTTTGTGGCTGCATCACCTCAGTTCTTCAGACCAGCATGACATTTACTTTATCCTTTTGTTCTTCTCGGGCCATTGACCACTTTTACTGTGATGCTCGCCCACTTCAGAGACTATCTTGTTCTGACCTCTTTATGTATAAAATGATTTCTTTTTTCTTATCCAGCATCATTATCTTGCCTACCACGATAGTCATTATTATTTCTTATATGTATATTGTGTCCACTGTTCCAAAGATACACTCCACTGAGGGACGTAAGAAAGCCTTTTCTACTTGCAGCTCGCACCTCGGAGTCGTGAGTGTACTGTATGGTGCTGTCTTTTTTATGTATCTCATTCCTGACAGATTTCCTGAGCTCAGTCAAGTGGTCTCCTTATGTTAAACCCTAGTCACTCCCATGTTGAATTCTTTGATTTACTCTCTGAGAAACAAAGATGTCAAAGAAGCTATAAAAAAAATTTTAGAGAAGAAAAATACTATTCTTTGATCATTATTTCTCTTTCACCAAAGGTGCTGTGGCTATTTATTTCATACTCCTTGTGGTCATTAGTGAAAGTTATTCTCCTGAACATAATAAACATGCTATTAGAAGCTTTTCAACAGAGAGTAGTATTCCCATTATTACATTTTTCTTTTCTTCTGAGACATTGTTAATTTTGAACATCCTAAATACTAGACATGTCCTGGATATCAGAGGAGCATTCTTCAAGATGACCCCCCACACCTGCGCCGCCCCACTGATTTCAAATAACATTTTATTTCACAAAATTGATTTCTATTTATTTTTATGACATTCTGCTGAATACTCTTTTTATATTTTATTGTAGTGTTTAAACAGTATTTTGTCCGGTGTTTGTCTTTGGAATTGCTCCTCCACTTACACACAAGCATTCATAATTGACAACAATGCCTAACTTATGTTTTTAAATAAAATATTTCCCAATTTTATAACTAGTTTTTTTTTACCATATTGAATAGTTACTGAATTTTCACTTTGAATCAAATGTTTTGTATGTGTTATATTGAAAGGAAGGAGTAATAAAAAGAAATAAACAATAAATAATCTTCACTATACACATTAACTTGGAAAATTGTACATTGAGTGTGTCAGGTATTGGGAAGTGCTCTGAGCACTGCTAATTGCTGGACTCTAGGACAAAAGAGCGAGACAGAGGTATGCAAACATTTTGAGTAATCATTCCCTCATAATGGATCTGCATAATGTTTCCTGTGTTAATTATTGTTAGGAATATTTAAAAGTGTTGTAGGAGCAAGGCAGTAATCAAAGTAGAATATGATTGAAATTTCCTCATCTATGTCTTTGAATATTTATTTGATTAAATTTATTGACTATATGTGTAATATGTTCTTGTCTTGTCGTAGGCTCAGGCATAAATAACCTCGATCATCAAGGAGTTTACAATTTATTGTGAGAGTCACATCTTTGGACAGACAATTAAAATCCACAAATGTGTATGCTAAAGATAAACATAGAGATTGCAAAGTGGGGTGCCTGAGAGGAAGTGGTTGGTAATCAGGTAAAGTCTTTAGGGTTATGTGAAAGATATATTTAAAAGGGGATAAGATTTGAGTTGGTAAAACTGCTGTATCAGATTACATTATTGATGTGTGCTTGAAGTATATCAATGTAGATGAAAAAACACTGAATTGAAAATTTGCAGGTAAAATACACAGAAGATATTAACTGATTTGTATGAGGAGAATATACTGAAGGAGTTGTGTCTCATGGATTTTTGAAATTGAATAATATGTGTGGTAATGGTAGAAACAGATAAAAATTAAAGGAGCTCTCACCAAACTAGGAACAGGGAGAAATTTCCTCAACTTGACAAAGAACATCTATAAAAATCCTAAGATCATATTTTTAAAAATTAAGGTAATATTTGATTGTGGGAAACTAGAAGCTTTTTTGGTAAGATTAAGAACAAGGTGAAATGTCCCTCCCTCACCACAACTTTCAACATCCTACTGGAAGTCTTTGCTAATACAGTAGATGAGAAAAAGATAAAAGTTTTGGGGGTTGAATTATATCTTCCAAAACTCGAACTCTCAGTACAGCATCTTGTGATCGTATCTAGAGATAAGGCTACAAAGAAGTAATTAAAATAAGGCTGTTGGTGGCCTCTGGTGCAGTCTGACTGATACGTTTGGAGGAAGAGGAGATTACGACACCCAGGGCAACACCGGGGTGCCTGTGCACTGATAGATGCCAATGTGCAGGAGAGCAAAAGAGTGGCTGTCTGTACGCCATGGCGAGAGCCCTCAGAGGAGACCAAAGCTGCTGGCACCTTATTCTTGGACTTCCAGTCTCCAGAACACTGAAAAATAAAGTTGTTTTTTAAGCCACTCAGTCTGCGGTATCTTGTTTTGGCAGTTCTAACAAAATAATACAAAAAGGTACATAGAATGGGAAGGAAGAAATAATACTGTCTTTGTTCACACATAACAATTGTTTTTATAGAAAATCTGAGAGCTGACAATAAAACTCCTGAAACTCTTAAGAGATAATAAAACGTTTGGAGGCTATATGGTTAGTATACAAAAGTCAATTGCTTTCTATATACCAGCAATGAGCAAGCGGAATTTAAAATTAAAAATACTTTATTATGCTAAGTGAAATAAGCCAGTTGGTGAAAGACAATTACCATATGATCTCACTTATATGTAGAATCTAATGAACTAAATAAACAGATGAACAAAATAGAAACAGAGGTATATACATGGAACAGACTGATAGCTGTCAGGACAGGGGTAAGAGGGGAACTGGATGAATGAAGGCGAAGGCATTACCAAAAGAACATGTACCCATAACCCACAGACACAACAGTGTGGTGATGGCCAGAGGGAAGAGGGGGACAAAGGCAGGGGGAGGTGTGCAAAGGGGAAAATGGGGACATCTGTAGTAATGTTAATAATAAAAATAAAGTAAAAAATAAAACAAAAAAATGAAACTGCCTTATGACCCAGTGATTCCACTTCTGGGAATATATCCAAAGAAACCCAAAATGCTGATTTGAAAGAATACATGCACCCCTATGTTCATTGCAGTGTTATTCACTAAGCAAGATTTGGAAGCAGCCCAAGTACCCATGAGTAGATGAGTGAATAAAAAGGCTATGGTACACTTACACAATGGAATACTCCTTGGCAGTAAAAAGAAGGAAATCTTACCTTTTTTGACAGCATGGATGGACTTGGAAAGTATTATGTTAAATGAAATAAACCAATCAGAGAAAGACAATTGTCATATGATTTCAAAATAAACAAAGAAAATAGAAAAAAGACTCAGATACAGAAAACAGACTGATGGCTCTCAGAGTGGAGGAGGGTGGAGGAGATGGATGAAAAAGGTGAAGTGATTAAGCAAAAAAAATCCAACAAAACCCCACAAAACCAACAGTATGGTGATTACTGAAGGAAGGGGAGTAGGGGGAGTTAGAAGAGGGTAAAGGATGGATAAGTGGTGACAGAAGGAGACTTGACTTTGGGTGATGAACACACAATACAATATACAGATGATGTATTATAGGTTGTCCACTTGAAACCTGTATAATTTTATTAACCAATGACCCCAATAAATTCAATTAAAACAAAGTTACATTTATATTGGCAATCTTCAAAGATAAAATATTCATGTATAAATCTCATAAAGTATGTATAAGATCTGTAGGAGAAAAATGTAAAACTCTAATAGAAGAAATCTAAGTAGATCTAAATATAAATGGAGAGATATTCTATGTTCATAAAGAGGAAGACTCAGTATAGTCAAGATGTCAGTTCTTCCTAACTTGTTCTATACATTCAATGTAATTCCAATAAAAATACCAGCAAGTTGTTCTGGATGTTGACAAACTTTAGATATTGAATCTAAAGTTTATATGGAGAAGAAAAAGACCCACAATAGACAGTATTGAAGGAGAAGAACAGAATCAGAAGACTGACACTACACAACTTCTTGACTGGCTGCCATGCAGCTACTATAAGATATGTGGTATTGGTGAAAGAATCAAAAATAGATTGAACAAAAGAGACTAGAAGTAGAGCCACATATAGTCAACTGATCTTTACAAAGGAGCAAAGGTAATACAATGGATAAAAGATAGTCTTTTCAACAGAGTACTGGAACAGCCACCTGCAAAAATGTGAACTAGATATTAACCTTACACCATTCACAAAAATAAACTCAAATGGATTATAGGACTTAGTGTAAAACACAAAACTATAAAATTTTTAGAAGATAACATATAAGAAATCTAGATGACTTTGAGTATGACAATGCCTTTTTAGAAGTAACACCAAAGGCATGATCCATGAAAGACATAATTAAAATTTGGACTTAACTAACACTGAAAACTTCTGCTCTGTGAAAGACATTGTGAAAGAAAAAAGGAAAGATACAGGCTGGAGAAAAATATTTTCAAAAGACAGCTGATAAAACATTGAAAATATGCAAGGAACTCTTAAGACTCAACTGTAAGAAAATTACCTGATTAAAAAGGCGGCCCAAGACCTTAATGGACACCTCATTAAAGAGGGTATGCAGATGGTAAACATAGGAAAAAATATTCTATATGTCATCAGGGAATGCAAATAAAACAATGATTCCTGGCTGGCGTGGCTCAATGGTTGGAGCATTGTCCAGTAACTGAAAGGTTCCAGGTTTGATTCCTGGTCAGGACACATACCTAGGTGTGTGTTCATCCCGATCTGGATGCAGGTGAATGCAACCCCTGGTCTGGACAGGTATGATCCTAGTGCCAGTACAGATCCCTGGTCTGGGTGTATATGAAGGCAACCAATCAATGCTTCTCTCACATCGATCTTTCTCTCTCTTCCTTCCTCTTTTCCTCCCTCTCTCTTGCTAAAAAAAGCAAATGAAAATGCCCTTGTGTGAGGATTAAAAATATCCCAACAATGAGATACCACTATACACCTCTCAGAATGGCCAAAATACAGAACACTGGCAATGTTAAATGCTTACAAGCATGTGGAGCAACTCTTACATATTGCTGATGGGAATTCAAAATAGTATAGCCACTTTGGAAGACAATTTGGCAGTTTCTTACAAAAGCTAAAAAACATACTATTACTATATGATTTAGTAATTACGCTGCTTGGCATTTACCCAAAGGAGCTGCAAGTTTATGTCCACACAAAAAACTGAACAAAAATATTTATAGTAGCTTTATTTACAGCTGTCAATATTTAGAACTTACCAAGATTTCCTTTGGTAAGTGAAGGCATAAACTGTAGCATATCCAGACAACGGAATATCATTCAGTGCTAAAAGAGCTTTCAACCTGTAAAGAGATATGGAGGAAGAGTAAATGCACATTACTTATTGAAAGAGTCCAATCTGGA